TGGATGGATGGATGGATGGATGGATGGATGGATGGATGGATGGATGGATGGATGGATGGATGGATGGATGGATAGATACATTTTGAGGTATTTTCCTTTCAACCAAGTGGTCACCGTCACCAACTGAGCACCTTTTCCCTTGCTCACTTATAGAATTGCGCTCTTTCTGTTTTCTTTTCAGTTGCATGAAATATTTAACTTTAACTGTGTCACTTACATGAAGTTTATATTTTAAGGCACGATTTGGTGGTTGTACGGGTATTAAAGTCTGCTAGTATATATAACTGACTGAATAGACTGGTCAGTACGTTACGCCAGAAATGCTGGCAGGTTTCCGTTTCCGCTTCGGTTTCGATGTCAGGTGTAAGCTGGTCACCGTCACTGGTGTTTCTTGATTGCCACTGAGTCAGTTTTATATGTGGCAGTGTTGGTGCAGCAGTAAAAAAGTTAATTCATATACTATATACTGCGTTAGAAGCAAGAAGAAGAAAGAAGTTAATATAGTGCATACTGCATTAGAAGCAACAACACGGAACAGGCTAATATAGTGCATACTGCCTTAATATACTGCATACTGCATTAGAAGCAAGAAGAAGGAACAGGCTAATATGGTGCATATTGCCTTAATCTACTGCATTCTGCATTAGAAGCAAGGAGAAGGGACAGGTTAATATAGTGCATATTGCCTTAATATAATGCATTCTGCATTAGATCGAAGCAAGGAGAAGGAACAGGCTAATATAGTGCATATTGCCTTAATATACTGCATTCTGCATTAGAAGCAAGGAGAAGGAATAGGCTAATATAGTGCATATATTGCCTTAATATACTGCGTAGTGCGTACTGCATTTATTATTATATTGATTAGAAGTTGATGCAGAGGCAGGTGTAGTAACCGGATCGAGTCCTGTACGTTGTGGCAGGTGCGGTAACGGACCTGAATCCGTGATGCTGGGGCAAGTGGGAGAGCCGATTGGAATCCGGGTAGGAAACGTGTACGTGGGTGATCATCGATATTCGTACATGGGGGAGATTGGGGGCGCAGTTTTTCCTGAAAGATATTAAAACACGCAATTTCAGTATCAGGGCAATTTTGTTGTTACGTTTATTTGATACCTATACAGTGATGGCTGTAGATGGTTATATTGCGGATTATTCTTTAGAAAATACCTATGAATACATTTGTGCCTTGGCCGAAAATATTGTACAATATATGGTGATCCCAATGAAATTGTCATATCGTCAAGAACTACTTTCCCCGCGATTCTACTTCCTTGGATGGGATAATTGGCCGGTCTTGAGAGACGAACGACTAAATAGGAAATATAAATAAATTGGAAATGGCAAAGATTTCGTAACGCAACAGAATTCGTGAACAAAAGGGTAATTCGCGTATCCACGGGGATCCTTCGGCTGCATAATTTGCATTCCAATATTGTTCGCAAGAGCATTAGGCTTCATTAGGCAAGATGTAAGGCTTCATTGTCATCGCATCACAGCCGACTAATAATAAAAGTGCAATGATGTTAATGCTAGCGTTAGATGAGGATATAACTGCAGGCGTGTCTTTGATATTCTGATTATTTTAACAATACGACTTGATAGCACCTCTCGGCAGTACCTACACTGATTGTTCATTCTGCTTTAGCGCCGATTGTGGTCGAGTTTGTAATATTATCAAAACGTGCGATATTATCTAAAGATGAAATGTTAACAGCGAACGGTGTCACGCGGCGCAGCACTGAGAATATTAACATGCGGACTGTGCGTGGGATATTGGCATTCAATATTTGAACTGTATGTTGGGATGGAACGGTAGGATGGGATAAGAAGCTTTGACTACAATAGAATCAAATTATAGAATTTTTGGAACTATTTTTATCACAATATTGTTTACTCCTCTTATATTTACCCGCTTTCTCTGTTACACCTATCCTGTGGGAATTAAGTATCATACATATGCTCAAATTGCTCTCGCAAGTTTTCTTGCCTAAGGTTATTAGTACAGGCGTCTAAACAGAGGAATGGCTCGACCTGTGATTGGGGATAAAAATAGACCCGCCCGACTCCGCCGCATACGCTATATGCTATGACCGGTAGGGAACGCGTGTACTAACTATCATATGGAAGCGAACGATTGAGTTACATTTCGATAAATTCTAGCTCTTATAGACACATGTCTTAGCCTTAATCTCTGTGAATTTTGAGTTATGAAGCACGATTAGTCTAATTAATTATCAAATATGCACGCGCGTATCGCTCATTGGCTAAACACGCGCGGCTATGACCGTTGAAACGAAACGTCACGAATTCTATTTTTATCCTCGAATCACAGGTCAAGGCAATTCCTCTGTTTAGACGCATGTGTTATACTCCGGCAACGCCGGGTGCTTCAAGCTAGTAAATAAATGTTTGTGAGAGGCGAGGAGAAGAGAAATGGTGGGCGAGAGGAAGAGAAAGGAAGACCAACATACACACATAATGGTACACGGAAACGAGTAGAAGATTGTATTAGTCTTCACGATGGTCCCACATTTACTAGCCGACGGGCTGTGCGAATGATCGTCTATACAGCCTGACACGCTTCATACCAAAAAATATCACCTATATGCAGATCTAGATGAATATAACTCTGTATATCTCAAATAAAAACATTCTATAATTACATCTTTGACTTGGCTTGTTTGAAATATGAACGTAACTCGCAGTTGTCCTGCTTCTAAACTAGAATGTATCATCTTATTCACGGTATAATCTGCTTAATTCTCAGAGCAATATTAACTTAATTCCACGATTGTTTAACCGCATGTTTACACTGCGCATGCTCTACAATGGAGACACGGAAACCCGAAACGGAAAATACTCCGCGAGTGCAGTTATTGATACTATGATTATAGTACTTAGGCACGAGCACATTTTAAAAAATATGTGAAAGTTACAAAATCACAAGTTACAAAAAATTAAAAATTAAAAATTAAAAACTTAAAGACAAAACTAATTAAAAAAAAAACAACTTGTTCGATCAATTGCGGATTTTAGTCGCAGTCGAATGATACAAATGATGGCGAATTCATCAATTTTGATTGCATTCGTCTCAAAAAGTCCGTGTGTAAACCGTAGGTAAGCGAGTGCATCGTAGCGCCACTGAATGGTTACAAGAAGGCGGTGTATACTGATTCATTTGGTATATCAACTGTGAAGTGTTCTTTGGCGATACTTGAGCAAATACGACAATTACGTGTTTATATAGCTGCAGCCAATGTTTGAAACGGGTCTCTAACCTAGCAAGACGTTTCTTGAGCTAAACCATTCACTTGATCTATACGCTTTACACTAGAAATCTTAACAACATGTAGTCAAGCTCATAATCAAAAGTGGCATTGCTTATAGTTCGTTTTTATAAACATTGTTGTAGTCGTGCAGGAAATTGCCTTTTCCCATCAGAGACCGCTGCTACTAACTGCCTTTCTCCTAATTAGGTTAGGCCACGCAGAATTTTCAATTAGGCGATGCAATTTATATGCATCTGTCCAAGCGTGCGTGTAATATGAGTTAATCTGTCTCACAGCGACTTAGCTAGAAAACGGATTTGAACGCGTCTCTAATTCTCTTTCGTTCATTAACATTGTATGCGGTGTGCCTGAACTCTGGAAGGCATCGACTATCAAGAGCGTATAAAGAAGGATATATATCATTATAGCCTCTGGTACTCTGCAGGCCGTAGCCAGCTTTATATGGGTGGGGGTTCGTTTTTCAATGTTGGCAACTTGCTCGCAGGGGCGTGTACAGGATTTGTACGAGGGGGGTCAACGCGTAGCCAAAGTTGCGAAGCACGCGAAGGGGGTCTGGGGTCCTCCCACCAGAATTTTTAAAATTACACTACTCAGATGCGTTTTCTGCGCGAGCAAGGGGATTCGGACTCCCTGGACCCACCCTGTACACGCCCGACTGCTCGGGCGCGAAGCGACCAGGCGAGGGAGCCAGCACCCGAGCGGGGGGAGGGTGTGGGAGGGGTGTTCACTGTTCACCCTCCCGCACGATGGAGATTTGCAAATATTACACTAAAATGGAGCGACCTGAGGTGAAATTCTTGCAAATTTAAAAAAATTTTGCTTGGGGGGGAGGCTCGGGGGGGGGTCGTT